TCTTAAAGGAAGCCGCATATGGGGTGAGGGGGGTGGGGGTGGGGAGGAGGGTCCAATGGCTGGAATTTCATTACGCTTTGGTAAGGCGTCACACCTTGCAATTTGGAATCGGTCATTTATTTGGAAACAGTGGATGCCAAATCAATGAAATGGTTTGTAAGGAGGCAGGAAGGGGTTTCAGCTGGGGAAGGGGGTTAGCATCGCCGGTTTTCCACTCCTTGTTTATCGGCTTGGCAGCCTCGCTTTTGAGTGGGGTTAACTCTGTGTGCGCCATTGGACCAGATGCCATATAGAGCTGCTCCCTGAAGATCATTTGTTTCCTTGATGGGGAACATTTCTGAGCAGAGCATATTGGTTGCCATAGAGAAAGAAATAAAAGGAAGAACACTAGTCACATTAAGCTATATGTTTGTGCACTGGGCGTTACATAAAAGGACCTGGCTTCAGCCAAAGAGAAGAAGCCAAACTAGAGACTCCTAGTGCCACTAAAACTAGCTTTATTTTGTTTTGGATTTTTTTTTTACAGTTGAAACGTATAAGCTAATTTTATTGGTTGTTGTTAATTTTATATGACACGGTTTACTGAACAAAATAAACTTTGCTCCGGAGTAGCACTGTGGATTTGTCAGCAGGGGGCGCACTGACTCGTCGTAGCTGGTCCTGAGCGAAATGTAGCTGCAAATCTGCTCTCCCAAACTTGCCAAAGGAAAAAAACACCCCTACCTTTCTGTGCTTGGTCACAATGAGGAGCGAATTCATTGAGTAACACCGCGTTTTAAAATAGGACAATGACCTCCCCACCCCCACCGCCCGTGTCTGTGAAATGGTCCAGAAAGAAGTACAGTTGAACGGTTGCTCCATTTCTTTCAGTAAAGTGTGTAGATGGCTGGAAAGCAGAAATGGGCTGAGAAAGCAAGAACACTGTTGTTTAAAAAATTATTATTAAGAGTGTGTACAGGCTCCTTAAAAGCTACCTTTTAGGTTGTTTTTTTTTTTTCTTTTTGGAAATGGTCAAGAAAACAAAACGTGGTTTAAGATTAAATAACGAACCTTCATCAACCTGACCCATACTTTGACTTCTGAGTAATATTCAAAAGTCCGAAAGATTTAGTGAAAGCACCCAGGGTCTCTTTTACTCCGTTTGATATTTAGTATCTACTTTCATTCTTGGCAGCTGCTCCAGGTTGAGGAAGATTTTTGTATTTCTCTGTGAAAGGCTCCATGGGGAAAAGAAAATAGAAAATAGCCAAAGGTTAGAGGTAACTGGGCTTGAAACTTTTTAGTACAAGATTACTTAGCCCAGTTGATGAGAAAGTTTCAATAGAGCACAATGTCAGCCCAAAGGCTTTTAGATCCTGCCAGCCAAGACTGAACTTTATTGGGGTAAAGGCTGAAAAAAGATATGGGAGAAAACTTCCTAAAATAGTGAAGGGCAAATTCTGAGTGGTTCTGAGGAATTAGTTTGTCTCCAGTCGTTTTCCCAAGGAGATTCAGAGCGCATGACTCTGAAAGGGAAGCCACTAGTGACTTATAGCAAGAAGCAGCTTCCACGGTTCAGCGGCTGAACGCACCTGTATCTGTGTCCCAGCGCCCTTTGGGAAGGGGGCACGTTCCTCTGCCAGGGGCCTCAGCCACCTTATCCTCTCTAATTCAGCTCCACGACTACCGGGTTCCAGGCGTGACAAGTTTTTCTTTGAAACTAACTTTAGGGCATCATGGTTTGAATTGGACTGGTATTGAATCTGGGCTGGTGGAAAGATTATGGGAATAACATAAGCAAAGGAGACACACTCAAACACGTTTTAATTCGCCCTTGAGCTCTCACAGTGAGAGTAAGGAAATGTACTGTCAGGTTTGCGCTAATAAAACAAAGTGGAGAATTGAGAAAACTGTCATTTGAACCCAAACTTGCTTTTCTTCAGCTCACTGGACATTTCAGACAAAAGACTTCTTAGGGGAGAGCCACAGGCACCGGGTGAGTGTCTTAAAGCTCTAGGCTACTCTCCATGCCCAGGGCTGCTAGTGCATTTGAGAATTCATAAAGGGAAAGGAAAACTTTCCTATTCTGCCAGACATTTTGCAAAAATCCTGGAGAAGCAATCATTATATATATTCACAGCACATTTTTTTGTGTTGATTTTCATGAGATCTGATTGTTACTGTCTAGGTTCCTGTTTGTTTTCTTTGTTCTTTTTTGCAAATATACTTTAAAAAACAGAAAGAAAAGAAATGGTTGCCCCTTGTGATTTCTATAGTGTTAGGTCCCTTAAAGTAAAGAAACAGAAAATAAGAATTCTGAGTAAAGCAACAAGTTAATGTGAGATAAACGAATGAATGTATTATAGAGATGGCTTTGGCATTCTGTAATGATTTGGGGTGGAAACGATCAAGCCGGGTATGAATTAAGATCCAAAGTGCTGGGCAAAGTTACAGACTTTTAATTGTTGGGGATGGCGAAATTGCTTGTGCCAAATGAAAGAATGAAGAACATTACCTGGGTCAAATGTACAAAACACACCGTGGATATTTACTCATTTGCAGAATGGGAAGGTGTTCTGATACCACGGCAGTTTGCAAGCACACTGGCCATTAGCATTTACAAATTAAAATGTTAAGCATACTTCCCAAACCACATTGCATGTTACATGCAAAGGGAAGGGCTCTTCAGCCCTTGCTTCTGGGTGCAAAAGACTGTTTTCCTGGCAGTGGGTGAGTAGTTTCTTAGTCTTCCTAAGTTTTTTTTTTTTCTTTTTGAGGCATATCCATGGTTTCATCTCCCACTTCTTTTTATCACTTTGATAACTGATTTCTCTGATCTTTAGGCAAGGGGCAAGCACTCAGTTTTTTTTTTTTTTAAGGTGCATTTGAAGGACTAATTATAAATGCAAAGAAACTATGATTTCTCAACCTAAAGTAAGGAGCTTTGTTTCTGAGACGTATAGGGCAGCTTTAAACTACAGGACATTTCAGATTCTGGAAAATAAATCCAGAAGGCACAGTAAGTTAGTAATTGAGTGTATGCTTTTAAAACGACCCCATTTCCAACAGTTTGCTCACTCTAGCTGCATCTGTGCAACTGATAAGCCTGGTAATGAAAGCTCCCAATCGCCAGGGAAGCAGGAGCTGACATAGTGTCCTGGACTATTCTCGCATGCCCCCCTTACCACCTTCTGCCCCTATCCCCCCACTGTAATGGCCTTCATGAAATTTAAATTCCATAGAACTAGGTAACCCAGCTAATTGACCAAAATGATGGTGTTGATGATGATTAACCAAAAATGTGGGTATATCCTACCTAGAAAATAATCCCCAAGGTCAGGTCTCTCTCTCTCTCTCTCTCTCTCTCTCTCTCTCTCTCTCTGTGTGTGTGTGTGTGTAAAACAAAACCCAGAAATACTAACTCAGCCTTAGCAGAGGGGTGATTGGGATTTTCGAGCCTGTGGTGGTCTTAAGAGGATGGAGCTGCTCTCTCTTTGGGGGACACTCCCTATACCAAACATTTGAGGTACATTTTACAGCATTTACTTTCTGGATCTGAACCCGGTAATCTGGATGTGCATAAAAGAGTCACTATGGCATTCTGGAAAACAACTCCTATACCTTGGCACCTCTGGGTTTTTTTGTTTGTTTAATTATTACATTTTTTGACATTTGAACTTATCTATTGTCTGAGGAGCTGGGTGCAGACTGTAGCACATCAGGCTGAAGGTTGCTCTTTTCGGCACTTCTCCCCAGCAGTGCATCTGCAGTGTCTCCTCTCCCTCGAATGAGCTGTTTGCTACACCATTGTTCCATTCCTTCCCCCCGGGGGCCCTCGCCCACCCTGATGCCCACCCTCTGGGGTATTTTCAAGAAAGGATGGCTATTGTTGTCCTGTTAAAATACAGTACCAAGTGCATTCATTGACACACAGTACTTCAGATGTTCCAGGGCTTGCCGCAATATAATTTCAGCACTCCAGTCTGGCGGTAGATGGAAGTGACCTTGGTAGCTGCAGCTTCGTGCATCCTGGGCTTATTAGTCCCGGGTTAAAAGTTACGTGTCCCATACTGTGTTGCATGCCTTCTCTTCTCTCCACATTTTCTGTAGGGAGCCTGGGTACCTCCTGTAAAGCCCAAATGGGAGGATTCCTGGCTAACAGTGGCACTTGATAGATGTCAAATGTTCATTTAGTATTAAACCGGACTGCAAAATGCCTCCCGAAGTCAAGGCATATATTTTCCAAATGGGGTGGGCTGTATTCCCTCTAATTCACAAGATAAAAACAAGGAAAAGCTCATTTGAAAAAAACACAATTAAAGTACCCTAAATCTGGAACTACGACAACTTTATTGGAGGGATTTGTCTAGCGATTCTTTCTCAGGAGTAGAAAGTAAGATTACAACTTTCCCCAGAAAGGTTGTGTGTGTGGGGGTGGGGTGGGGGGGCTTCAGCGCTCCAGGTCCCCCCAGTCCACAGCGTCAGGGTGACTCCATCACACTGGTGACTTGCGGGCTTCTCAGGAATCAACCACGACTTGTGGGGGTCCCTGGGCCAAACTCTTTTCCCTGCGACCGACCGCATCCTAAAGCAGTTTATTTAGGGCACGGTTTGCATAATAAAAATCTGAAGGATCCCGGCACTCCCCCTCTCTCCCCAGCACTGCCCAGCAGTCTTGCTGGCTGTTATTTGAACATCCAGAGAGGCCTTCAGAAGTTGAATTAGCATTGCTTTTCTATGGAAAAAGGGAGAGAGGTAAAAAAGGGCAAAATGAGAAGGGGTGAGGGAAAAGGAGTGAGGTGGAGAAAAAAAAAAAAGCAGGGAGCTATGGAGGAGACTGAGGACGAGAGCGAGAGCGAGATGGGGATGCGGGAAAGGATGAACGCTGAGTCACCCCCTCCCAGGTCACTGAGTACACAGGCGCGAGACGCCTTGGCCCTGGACGGCCCGGGTGCAAATCGCACCCCGTCTCCTGGGCCTGCTTCCCGTGGGGCCGCAGGAGCGCACGCAGGCTTGGAGCGCGGCGCTGCCAGCCCGCCTTTGTCACCGGCTCGGTGCGCTGCCGCGGGCTCCCGCGGCGGGCTTTGTTCCAGCGGAGCAGGGCAGGACCCCTCGTCCCGCGGCGTCCCCGCCCTCCCCGAGCTGGAGACGGTGGGGGTGGGGACTGCGCGACAGGCGCGGGGACCGAAGAAGCCTTGGCGGGTGCTTCTGAGCCTGGGATTTCGTTCCTTCGCTCCTTTTCGTAATTGAGCTGTTCTCCTTTCGGGGAGGGGGCCGGGGCTGCGCGGGTGGAGGGAGAGGTGGAAGGGGGCGCCTGCTCTCAGCCCACAGCGAGGGCGCGGCGCAGCTCTTGGAGGGGGGGTGGCCCGCATCTGCACATTTTGTTTTGTATGCATGTAGGCTTGCGGGGATGGAGGGACGGAGGGATAAACACATAGCAGGTCCGGCTGGGGAAAACCGGCGGACTGGGGTCCCCTGGTCCAGGCTTCCGGCTGGGTGCCTCTCAGGTCGGGGGCTGGTTAACCCCTAAGATCGCTCTCCGAAGCGCTTCGGGGCCGCGGGTGGGCGCTGTGGACGCATTCCTGGGTCTGGGGGCTGCCCACGGGCAGCGCGCAGGTTCCCGCCGCGGAGGCCTGTGGCGGGGACAAAGAGGCAGACACCTGGAGCAAGCAGAGAGCAGCCGCTCGATGCCCCCCACGCACCCACGCGCGCCCCCCGCCCCCGGCCGGGGCTCCTCCCTGTGGACCCCGCGGCTCCGCGTCTGCGAAGTTGGCCCTGCGCAGCGCCCGCTCCCTGCTCTCGCTACCGCATCTAGCTGGCGGCGGGAGAACGCGTCACCCTGTCCCCAACCACCCCGCAAAGGTGTGGGCAGATTGTAAGAGTTGCTGCTCTGTTATTGTTTGTCAAACAGGCCCCTTCTCTTGGGAGCGGGTCGCGGGGCATGTGGCGGATCCCGGGCCAGGATTACATTAATCAAAGCATTATTTCCCCAGAGAAGCTCAGCACAAATGAGAGTAAATCCTAATAAAATTGGATCGCAGAGAAACGGAACGCTTTAAGTCATCGGTGCTGCCTGATAAAAATCTCACATTTACAACATGTGGGTCTTTAAAGAAAAAAAAAAAGGAAGAAAGAAAGAAACAAGGATTCCGTGCATCTCCGGCCTCGCGGGTCCGGGGGAGCAGCCACGACCCGCGGGCTCACTTGGCCCAGCCACTGCAGGGTCCGGAGCTTCACAAAGGACGGTCTCCGTAGAAGGAGTCTGCAGACCCCCTGGGCCCCGCGAGGTTGCGAGCTCTGCTTCTCTGGGACCGTGCCCCGACTGTCCCCTTGGAGCGAAGCTGCAGGATGGGCAACTCACTGAGCTGGAAGCCGAGGGGTGCGGGTGAGGGACCGGGGAGCCCGGGTCGCTCCTGTAGGATCCCCGGGTCCCGCAGCCCACGTCCACGGGGCCGTTTTGCTTAGGCGGCCTCGGGTCCGTGGCCCTCTCGGCTGGCGAAGGGGGTGTGCGTTTAGGGTGACTGCTGCGTAAAGCCCAGGGCGCGTCTGGCCGGCGAGACTTCTCGTACTTTCTGGCCAGCCCAGCCAGGAAGCAGTGGCTCGCCCTCGATCCGCCTGCGTCCCCCAAGTGGTAGGAAACTTTCCGACGACGCCTAGCGCTGCTCTGCGAGGAGAGACAAGAACAGCTCCCCCTCCCAGCCCCGTGGGAATGACTGAGCCACGCAAAGCCGCCCAGCCAAGAGGCAAAGCCCCCACCCTGCCACCGCGAGGCCTCCGCCAGCCGCGGGGAACGGACCGTGACGCCACGCAGGCCCTCTCCAGTGACACGTGTGACAACGCCGTCCCGGTCCTACTACGGGTGAGCTCCGGCCCCAGGGCTGCGCCCGACCCCCCTGAGAGGCGCGGAGGGAACCGGCTACCGTCTGGGTTCTCAGTCCAGCCCCTCCTCCCGCCCAGAGGCGGGCAGTGGGGGGCCCTGCGGGGCGCCCTCTGCAGGCGCGCGCCGGGAGAGCCCGTGCTGGTGCTCCGGCCCCGTGGTGGGGTCCCCGCACGGCCCACATCCAAGCTCCTCCGGCACACACACGCACGGGCGCCCCGCAGCATCCGCGGCGGCTCCGGAGCTCCGTTCCCTTTCCAAGCATGAGCCCCTGGCGGCGGCGCAGTGGCAGGGCGGGAAGGGGAGAGGTAGTAGGGCCCTCGAGGGGGGCGCGGAGACTGTTGGGGGGCAGCCGGCGTCACCCCCGTTACCCATGCCCCGCCCGTCCTTTCTCCTGTCCGCGCCGGGAAGCCTCCGGGCCACGCGCCCCCCACCCGTTTCGCGCGCTCCGGAGCCCTAATGGGCGCACTGTGTGCTTTGGCAGGGGCTGCGCCAGGCGCCGGGCGGGCCCGAGCCGCCTCACCTTCGGCGAGCGCGCCTCAAAGGGCCGTGTTTCCCCTTGGGTCTGGCGAGAAGAGCGTCTGAGAGCAAGAGCAGCGTGCGTGTGCTAGGGCGTGTGCGCGTGTGAGTGCGGTGCGCGCGCAGGGCAGGGCAGAAGGCATTCCAGGAGGTTCTGGTGCAAACGTATCCTTTTCAGCCTGGAGATCGAAATCTGCAGCTCAAGAGCTTATTAGTCCCCCCCCCCCCCCCCACCTCCACTCCCGGATCTCTCCCCTTGAGTCTCCCTCTTTCGCTGGTCTGCCCGGCAGGTTCCCAAAGAGATCCCCCTTGCGGTCCGGGAATATTCATGGCCACCCTGCCCCACGTGAGCCAGGGGCAGGCTGAGGAGGGCAGCGTGGGTTGGGAAATGCTACCGCGAGCGCTTCCACCAGGCACTGCGCTCTGTAGCCTGGATTGCATGCGCCAGCAAGCCACGGGCTGGGGACTTGCGTGTCCCTTTTCTGTCTTGGCCTTACAAATTGCTATATGGACTGTTTTTCTCCTCGGAGGAATAGGGAAGCAGTAGGAACCAATTGCTGACCACTTTGTGGATGTCTTAGGTGGACAGTTGTGGTCCTGTGGTGCGCCGGTCCGATTTCCTGGTGCTTTTCCAGGGATGGGAAGTTGGGATGAGGCACAGCAAAGTCACTTCTACCTTTTCAGTTTTGAATAATGAACTCCCCTTCTCCCCTCTCTGTGAGTTCCATGGTCCCACAGAGAACAGGGACTTCGCTTATCTCTGCACAAGCAAAGCAAGATTAGCAGAGGAAAACTTGGGCCGAATTAAATTCCTCCTTAAAACATTAACCAGAAACTCCCTCTCTGTGCAAACTTAGTTCTCAAGGGGGAAGCAGGAAGAGATGTCCAAGTTGAGTCTGAACATTTCTCTCCTTCCCTGAAGCTCTGGTTGCCAAAGTGTGTATTTTTGATAACCTGAGGATTCAGAGCGTTTTGAAAAACACCCTTTCTGTGTGTTTTATTATTATTTTTGTTGTTGCTCTCTTTCTGGCTTTACATATTTGCATCTGAGGGTTTGCAATAATTTGGCAGCTTCTTTAGAATGCTTTTTTTTTTGCGTCTTGGATTTATTAATATTAGATGGTTTTACTGTTAACCTTAATTTTTAATAAGACCTCCTGGCCCAGAGAAAGGTTGGGAGTGACATTTGCGCACACTCAGTGGTTGCCTCAAGAGGCCCTCACCAGCCAGTATCTTGATGCAATTTCAACTCCTCCTTTGCAGATGATGATTTATAGACAGCTACATTTTAACAAAGGATGTTAATGGTAAAATGTGAGTGTTTCAATGGATGAGCTTTTATTTTTAGAATCAAAGTTTAGCTTCTCTTTGAATTATTTATCAAGCTGTTTGCCCATAGGACTTCCTAAGAGAGGGGAAGGTGAAGGGGAGGGTATCACTTTTATTTATTTAAAGCATATGTTAACATAAAATTTAAAAAACTCGCCTTGTGGAAAGCAGCAAGGAGCTGCGTCTGGGATCCTGAGCAACAGAAAGCAGAGCACAACCTAATTACCTTCCTCGCAAACGTTACTCAGCGCACAGTTAACTAAAATATTGTATGGCAGTGCCTACAAGCTCCTCCCCCTGAAGTATAGTACAGTTTGGTAATATACTACACATATTTATACACGATGTAAATATACATATGCACAAGGGTAGATGTTTATGTACAGAACATAACAAAATATATACATACCCCAACTGAAGACATTTGCGTGTAACATGCCCATGTGTAATATACTGAACTTCTACCATTAACAATACATTCTATAGCAGATAGTCTGCAAATAAGAGGAAGCAAGTAAATCTTACTCATGTTGAGAATTTTTTTTCCAAATTCCTTTTGAAAACGGAATTGTTCTAACTTAGAGAACACCACAGAAATCAGTAAATACTAGACTCGTAGTATTATTTTAAGCACACCTTATTGGAAAGTACTACGAACTTAAATAATTTGTTGTACCTAAAATAAAAACTGTGGCATACTTTAAACTGCACATTTAAAGCATAAAAACTCTACGAAAGTCGGGTACCTATTTTTTGTCTTTCTTTCACACACTACATACTATAATAAGGGAATGAAAATTAAATTCTGGGTGCACTGGAAAAGAGTAGTAGTTTCATTTTCCATTCTACTGTAAAGAAAAATATTTTTAAGTAGTTAAATTTATAGGTCTCTATCTGCATTAGAACAGTTACAGTAGTCTAGTGATAATTTGAAATGTAAAAGCAAATTATAAGTGTATACGTATACTTGAAATGATTTAAATAATATGGGATGACATTCAATTAAGTGATATTTTGAATCTTTGGATTTTCAAATTTTTTTTTTTTGGTTAAAATCAGCATTGCAGTTAAAATGAATACATTGGCATTCATTGGCTAGAGTCCAAATACTCATTTGTGCTGGGCAAATGTAAAGAAATGTTTTACCTGGATTTTATCCTTTAAAAGCTGGTTGTCCTAGTTGATAAACGAATTAAAATGATAAACTTTTTAAGTTTTTTTTTTGAAAACTATGATAAAAGGTGCTTTCTGATGTATTGAGAGTTATTTTTACTGATATTATAAAATATCTTGTTTGCTTTTCTATGTTAATATAAATGTATATTTCTTTCCTGAGAAATGTGTGTCTATGGTGACATTTATCCTCACATGTAAATTTATTGTTATTTATTTCCAGAAGAGTATTTGAAAGACTGATAACTCATTGGTGGTATCTAAATATTAGTGAAAGGTTTGTGAAAATAAAAATTCATTTTTGAGCTCAAATACTTTTTGAGGTTTGCTTCTTAATCTCTTAAGTAGTTTGAAGTTAAAATGATGAAAGGGATTTTTTTTAAAGGCTGCTAATAGGAAAGTGGTAAAAACATGTTTCTGTAGTTGGGGTTTAAGGTCAACTTGCAAGAATAAGTTAGTCTTTTATTTTAGAAAGTTTTTTTTTTAACTCTGAGGCTATATTGTGATATGAAGAGACATATAGGCTGTATAATGAGTTAAAATGTACAATATGCACTCAAAAATGTGATTGAAGAGTCACTCAGTACAAAATTGTAAAATAATATTTTCTGCCGATTTAATTAATGAAGTAGATAAAAGGACTATTTTAGTAGGCTCAAATTACACGTGCAGAAAGATTTTGTAAGAATGCATCCTTCGGCATTCTGTGGCCTAAAAGCAGACAGAACTATAACATAGCAAATAAAGCTCCCCAGAATGTAGGCATCCAAGATTCAATTTCATTAAAAATTTGGCAGTTAAAGAAAAGAAGGAAAAATGCTTATTAAATCAGGGCAGCTATAAAATGTTGACAGATCTCAAGTTTCATATCCAACTAGGCTCTTCGAAAACTGCTGGGATGCTGGTCAAGTACTAGTTATTCTGTCAAACCGTTTTTCATAGTGAATCATCTTTCAGTACCCTCAAAGTTAAACTCCAACTTCCTAGACTAATCATTTTCTCTCCTCCTCCCCTCCCCCCCACCTTCTCCCCCGCCCGCCCCTCTCCCTTTTTCTTGCTTTCTTTGCTCCCCAGCCTGCATCTGTAAGAAGGTTGGTGAGCCTGTTTATAGTGATCAGAGAGAGGCATTCAAGGAGGATGTGCAGTCTTGTGGCTCAGTGGTTAGACACTATCGGTGGTGCACATGGAGTATGCTTGGGAAATACCTGTGCTGCCTCAAAACATCTTTCTTTCCCCCACACGACTACCAGCATCTTTTAAAGCGAGAGTAAGGCAATGTCTACCAAAGGCAAAGTAAACGGGAGCTTTGAACTATTTATTTGGATAATTCAGGCCTTGCAGCCCTCCCTTCCAGTGCCTGAGAAAAAATAACGGCGACATTTGGATAATCTAGATAACCTGTGATTGTCCAGTTTGTATGAAATGGGCTAATTCTGCAAGATAGTGCTTGATTCCTTATTCTCGCAGTGTAAGAGAGCTGGATACCAGCATCTGAATGGAATTCCAGTTGGGGTCATTGTAGGGGTGAAGACATTTACTCCAGATTTAAAAATTAGGGGAGTTGAGGGGCCTGATTTGCCAGGTTTTGCTAAGTACAGTGATTGAAGTTATTAGATAATTGTTCACCTTCCTACTCTGCCCCAGGAGAGGAGACACATGCACATATTATAAAATACTTTAAAATTAATGTTAAATAGTCCAACTGGGATCAGTAAAGTTATTTACATTTAACAATGGATTGAAATGTTAGCATTCTACGTTGAGTGAATTACGATCTTGTCTCCTATGCGTGCTCTGTCTTGGACACGTTTGCTGTACCAATCATCAAGGGTGTTTTCGGGAGGACAATTTTCTCAGCGTAATTTGGTGGATTGAAAGGTGCTGTCCCTTCACTTTCTGTGGGGTTGAGAGAATGAGAGAAGACAAGGTTAAGTGTTGCAGGTGGCAATTAGGCCACAGACTGTTTTAAAGTTGTCTCTGGGAGCGTAGGATAAAATTGAACATGATTCGCGTTTACTTTAAAGACCATTTGTAAACATTAATTACAGGCACTTTTTAAAAAGATAGTGAGTTGCAAATAAATATTCTTTTCAAAAGAGCATACGGGTTTTCTAAGAGGGCACCTCAAAAACTCTGTGGAGAAATGCAGTGAAAAGAATCAAAGTTTATTTTGGTAAATATTTTTGAAATCTATATATAGTCTTTTCATGATACACATTTTTTATGAACTTTCTGAAGTCTCCTTGTATTAATAAACTTTGCTGTCTTTCTCAAAAATATCTATAAAATTTTGTCACTTTGTTTTGCATCCATCCAGTTAAATAAGCGCAAGAATCATTCTAACACATAAAGCATACATCTCCAAGAATAAATGAAAGTGTATGCTGGTGAAAAGAAAATATTGCTGACTCACTTTTGCTGTAATTTCAGGAGAGAGTGGCTAAGTGAAAATTATGGGCTAGTAATGTTTTCTACTTATTTATAAAGTCATTTTGTTATACTAACAGAAGCTGTGTT